CTGCCTGCATTTGCACCCACCCACTGCCTGCTGTCAATCAGCAGAGGAGGACCTGATGGAGAACTTTCTCCTTCAGGTCCTTCCTCTGCTGATTGACCTACCTAGAAAAACAGCGATTGCACTACAAATGTTAGGTATCGCCGCGTACTTTATTTTAAATTATGGATGTTTTTTTTGTTTTTTTAAATCCGATTAATCAAAGTTAATAATCGGCTAACTAATCGATTATGAAAATAATTGTTAGCTGTAGCCCTAGTTATAATCTTCTAAGCTCACCTGTGATAGTTTTTGATTTCTATCTTATCATTGTTTGTTCCCCCTTCCAAGATGGCTGCTTTACCTTGGATTCCGAGACTACCTTTTCTGCAGCAACAATTATTCCTCTAAGAGTCTAAACCTCTTCCCGACATGCCATGATTCATTCGTAGCAGTGCATGTAATATGTCACTACCAGAGCTGCAGGTACATTTGTAGGCATGCTGTTTTGTGTTGGTCTCCTCTGCTCTGCACCTTTTTGCCTATTCCAGCAGTGGAGGTCTAAGCCTACCCTTTGTGCATTTGCCTGCCCCCGCCCAGTCACAATCCTGGCATGGGGTGTGCTTTGTACCATATTCCTGTCAGACTTTTACATGCACATTCAGAACAGTTCCCAGAAGTGGGTTCTGGTTGCAGTGGTTATGTCATGGTTTTATGGCGGTGTAATGATTTTATTAGGAATGTCAGGGCCCCTGTGAGTGGAGGATCTGGAGAGGCTGCAGTGAAAAAGGTCACACAAGCTCATCTTAGTTGTTTGGATCTAAATTAAGAACGGGAGCGATGTGGAAGGTTGGGTCCGCACAATGTGCCCTTGTTAGAATGTGTGTGTGTGGACCTGGATGGTCTGTACATATTTCCAGCGTGTGCGTGCGAAGCCTTAAAGAGAACCTGTCCCATTTGGGCTTCAGCAAGAATCTGCGTATTCCGTCTTCAATGTTCATAATAGTGCTGCCTTGTCTATGGAGTGATTCCTAATTGCCCCCATTATTTACCAAAACTTACTGTGTCTGAGGATGTGGCCCCCGGGATTTAGAAGGAAGAGATCACCTGCAGTCTGACAGTTGTGGCCCTGCAATTTAGGAGTGAGATTCCAAACACACAGAATGTTTAGGGTTTTGAAGCTTAGGGGTGAGATTCTGAACAGCAGGGATATAGATGGTGTGAGAGATTATGGGTTGGATTCCCAACATCCGAATTATAGAACGTGACAGTTTTGGTGTGAGATTCCCAACATTCGGATTACAGAGGGTGTGGAAGAGTAGGGGTGAGATTCCCAAACCCCAGATTATAGAGAGTGTGGGAGAGTAGGGGTGGCACATTCAACATCCAGATTATAGAGGGTGCGGAAGATCAGGAGTGGGATTCCCAACACCCAGATTATAGAGAGTGTAGGAGATTGGAGGTGAGATTCCCAAAATCTAGTTTTATAGAGAGTGTGAAAGATTAAGGGTGGGATTCTTAACAGCAGTATTGTAGAAGGTGTGGAAGTGTAGGGTGCGATTGCCAACATCCAAATTAGAGAGTGTGGAAGATTAGGGGGAAAACTGCCAACACCTGAAGTCTGAATTAGAGAGGGTGGAAGGTTGGGGGGAGACTCCCAACACCCGAATTAGAGAGAATGGAAGATTAGGGGTCGATTCCCAACACTTGGATTATAGAGAGTGTGAGAAATTAGGGGTGGCATTCTCAACATTCAGGTTACAGTGATTGTGGCAGATTAGGGGGGGAGATTCTCAAGACCAGAATTAGAGAGTGTGGAATATAAGGGGGGAGATTCCCCAACATCCAAATTATAGAGAGCAGAAGATTAGGGGGGAGATTCCCAACACCCAAATTAGAGAGTGTGGCAGATTAGGAGGGAGATTCCCAACACCCGAATTAGAGAGTGTGGAATATAAGCGGGGAGATTCCCAACACCCGAATTAGGGAGTTTGGAAGAATAGGGGGAAGATTCTCAAGACCAGAATTAGAGAGTGTGGAATATAAGGGGGGAGATTCCCCAACATCCAAATTATAGAGAGCAGAAGATTAGGGGGGAGATTCCCAACACCCGAATTAGAGAGTGTGGAATATAAGGGGGGAGATTCCCCAACATCCAAATTATAGAGAGCAGAAGATTAGGGGGGAGATTCCCAACACCCGAATTAGAGAGTGTGGAAAATTAGGGAGGAGATTCCCAACCCCCAAATAATAGATTAGCAGTGGGCTTCCCAATAACTGGATTATAGAGAATGTGAGAAATTAGGAGTGAGATTCCCAACATCCGGATTATAACGAGTGTGGTAGTTTATGAGTGGGATTCCCAGAACCTGGGAAACCCCTGTAGAGGTTGTGGGAGATTAGAAGTAGGATTCTTCAGGAACTGTGATGTCATAATCCTAAAGGAAGTTTTATAGAGGGCGTCGGAGATTATAAAGAAGGATTTTTCAGCCCTCGGATTGCTATAAACTCTACTTCCCAATGAAGAGGTAAAAGGTAAACAAATATTGTCCTCATACAAGAGTCATGTGACTTCTTCTTGAATCTAGGTGAGCTTTGTGTGTTTCTTCCAGATCTGTGCAGTCGTCCCGTGTGAGACTCGGAGCTTCCTGTAATACAGACCTGGGTAGTCACTGACTGTGGGGACACCGAATGGCTGTGCAGTTTCCCCGCAGCCACGGAGTCGCACACCAACTTGGTCTATAATTAGAGCGCCCTAAGTGGCCGGCTCCACCCTTTCTTCCAGAGGATTTAGTCTTGTTAGGCCGGCGGATTGTAAATGATAACGCAGCACTTCCCCGCGTTTCTAGGAAGAATGTTTTGTTGGTGTGAGATAATTGGCGGCGTTCCCTTTTAGTCCCTTCTTTTCATGCGTGCTGATCCCGGCAGGCAGCCCGCTGCTCTCCTCGCTCCCTCACGCTCCATCTGTCGCTTGTTCAGAGCCGAGGCGTTGGAAGGGAACCGTTTAGATACATTGTGGAGGAATTAACCCCCCCCCCGTAGACCCGTGGCCTTCAGTCTGGAAGGCCGATGTCGCCTGCCAGGCCGCCTATCAAACCGCGAAAGGCATCAGAGGCTTTTCATGCTTAATGATTGAACTTTGAGTTTAAATCGGTGAAATAGATTTGAGGTGCGTTAAAATAAAAAGGCGTTCGGAGTCTGAGGCCTTGTTCACACCAAGCGCGTTCCAGGAGCAGAGCAGTTACAGACCGGAGCAAAACTGCGTCCAATGTATTCCAATGGTATTTTTAGCTCCAGTTCACGTCGCAGCAGTTCCAGAGCAGGTAAAAAAACTGCAGCAGGCCCTAGTTTACCTGCTCTGGAACGCATGCAAACACATCAAAAACGCATTGCAAACGCCCTGGAAGACACTGCACTGCGTGTGCAGAAATTCATGCAGATCTGCTCTGCATTTGGTGTGAACAAGACCTTACATTTTGCCGTCTTTGAGGAGAAAAGCCTGCCCCCTGCCAGCCTGCTGCAGAACAGGAGCCTTGCGCTTTGCGGGGAAGCAGAGGTCGCTCTGCAGAGATCTGACACTTCCTGCTGGGTACACCTTCCACAGCACAGGTCCTCTTGAAGGAACTCACAAAGGCAGTTTAGCTTTACGTAGATCGTTCACCTCAAATTTGTCACATGAACTCGTTGAGTGCCGAGACTCTGAGACTCGCTGACGCTGAGAATGAAATGTATCCGCAGCTTGTGAACTCGGCTCCAGCGAGGATCGGGATGATTTGCTGCAGTTAAAGGAGAACTATGGGGTTAAGGCTTTTCACTCATAGTTGTAGCCGAGCTGTGACCATGAGACTGTCATACTGGTGTTCGCTCACTTCTCGATCCTGTCACGGCTCTCTGCCGTGACAGGGGAGGGGCTGGAGTGCCCCGATCCTCCATACCGGCCGTCCATCTCCAGATCCTGGCATTCACACGTAAGTGCCACCACCTTCAGTTTTTCATCACTACTTTGTTAACTAGCCAGTGTTCTCTGCGCCCTTTCTTGGTTTTTTGAATATTTACAATCCACAGGTTCTCCTCCTGTTTTCCAGGGCTGCACACACACCTCTAAGCTAATTTGTTGCCCATCCGAGAGCGCTGTTTATATGTTTTTTCTGTACAGAACCTTATATGCAGTGGCGTCATGAGGGGGGTGGGGCCCGCACCCCATTGGGGGTGGGTGACACCAAAATGACTGACACCCTATGAAAAGTCGGGCACTCGGTCAGCCCGGCAGTGTCAGGAGGGGACCTGGCAGCATACCTCATCCCGCCGAGTGAATGTCCCCTCCTCTCTCAATAGACGGCAGAGCCAGCTATCAATCACGCAGCTGGGTGGATCTCGAGAGTAATGTCGGGATCCGTCCCGGTTACGGCGGTCTCAGTATACCGCGAGCTGTAGCTCGCGGTATACTGAGCTTTGGGTCACAGGAGGACGCTAGTTTATGTCCTCCCGTGACCCTGAGAAGAACTATGGGGGAAAACACTGACCCCATAGTTTTCCTTTAAGTTCACTTTAAAACCACCCCCTTCCACTGACCTAAAGTATCCCACCATCCCCCTCCTCAGATCTGTACTTTTCAAGATCCGACGGGTATGGATTCGCTATTGTTTCCATCCAGGGCTGCAGTGCTCCCTCTGCTGGCCGCACCTGCACATTACAGCCTCATAGACTTCTATGGGGCCGTCTCACTTGCAGCACCGGATGCCACCGAACAGCAGAGCGGCGGCCCTTGGATCTCGGTAAGTACAGATCTGAGGAGGATCATTGAGGTCAGAGGAGGGGGGGTGCAAAAAAATATAAGTGCACTTTGAAGATGAGATTTTACCATCTGGGTGTACAAATACTTTAATAACCTTTAGATCTCTCTCTTCTCATTCTGTATCAAACCAAGGGGAATATTCCCAGGGTGCACTGGGGCCTTCCCTCTGCAGAACAGCCGCATGCGAAATTCCTGATTGGTAACATTTTTGGTTCTTCTCCGTCCACAGAGGCCGGCGTGTTGGCCAAGAAGTTCGTCCAGCAGGGTCTCGGCGTCCCCGATGACCTCATCACCCGCGTCATGCTGTCCGAGCTGGAGAAGAGGACAACGCACGGCTGGCTACTGGATGGTAAATTCACACTCAGCATTCACCCGGGGGGAATATGAAACCCGTCTCTTCTCATACACACAGTGCAATGTATGGATTCCACATTCCTCGTATGTTCATTCTGTTCAGGAACAGCCAATCACATTCAGGTTCAGGCCAGGTCTGATGCCGATTGGTGGCTGAGACGTAATTCCAATTAGTCATGGTTGCAATGCTTTGCAGGCTCCAGTGCAAAAAAATAGAGACACATTTTTTCCTTTTTGCGTAAAATTGATTGGACTGCAGCGCATGAAGTATGAAGTGGAATATTCCTTTAAGTGGCAGTGTTGCATCAACAATGAGCAATGTCAGAGTTCCCCTTTAAGCAGTGATTTTATGTCAGGGGGGTGCTGATAATCTGGAGGCTCTGTGTGGAATATTCCATGCATTCGGCCTGAGCGTGTCTGACTGTTACATTAACGGAAAGGGATGAGTCATCTGTCTTTATAAAAACAGAACCTTGTAGCTGTTACAATGTATCCCCCACCCCCACCCCACCGCAGGAGAGAGAATGGGACGTCTGTCATTTATTTCCCTGCTACCCTTTAATTTTTAACACTCGTCTGTCAGTTTAACAAAACGCCGTCAGTCAGCGGTGAGATCCTGTTTATGGTTAATAGAAAATATCTCATCGTCCCCACACAGGTAAACATTGATTCCAGGAAGTCTTCAAGGGTAACTCAGCCCAAGGACATCAAGTGTCATATATTGCAGCGCACCTGTCCTCAGATGTGACCGCTGCATTCGTTATCCAGACAGATAGATAGACAGACAGATGCAGGGGCGTCCTGAGACGGGGTGACACCCGAAGCGGGTACCAGGTGACACCCCGCCATGACATCATCACGCATGCATGTGATGACGTCACGCGCTTTTACCTCCCAGCGGCCATCTTGGCAGAGAGAGGAGGAGATGTTCACCCGGCGGGATAAGGTGTCCCCCTCCTCTCTTGTGCAACTGCCCAACATTTCAGAGGCGGTGACACACCTATGACGGTCAGTCATTTTGGTGTCACCCGTCCAATGGTTCAGTATTCAAACGGAAACCCATGGCACTCGTGAGCAAATAAAAACCCTTTGGAGTTGGGTGGGTGCAAAGCGTGACTACGGATGGAATCAATAAATGAATGTAGAAAAGGTCACTCGCACTCCAGGTTAATTTTCAGTCAATGTTTATTGATTTCTCATCGTGTCACATTGTCGATGGGACACGATGAGAGGTCAATAAACATTGACTGAAAATGTATTTGGAGTGCGAGTGAACTTTTCTACATTCACCCGTCCAATGGTGTCACCCGGGTATGGGCCGTACCCCGCCCCCAGGTGACGACACTGGATAGACAGATAGACATTGGATAGATTGGAAGTCCAGCTTGGGTGCCAGCCATGGCTCCCTCCATAGATGCAGTGAAGGAGTGGGTGTAGCCAGCGGTGTCACCCGGTGCGCAGGTCATTACCTATACACGTGACATTGTTACGCACAGCGGCCATCATGGTGATGGAAGGCGGCAAAGAGAGGAGAGGACGTTCATCCGGTAGGATAAGGTATGCCGCCGAGTCCCCTCCTCCCTGGTGCAACTGCCCAACTTTTCAGAGGGGGCGACACCAAAATGACCCTCAGTCATTTTGGTGTCACCCGTCCAATGGTGTCACCCAGGTGTGGGCTGTACCCCCCTAGTGACGCCACTGGATAGACAGACAGAGATATTGGATAGATTGGGGGTCAGCCATGGCTCCCTCCATAGATACAGTGAAGGAGTGGGTGTAGCCAGCGGTGTCACCCGGTGTGCAGGTCATTACGTATACACGTGACATCATTACGCATAGCAGCCATCTTGGTGATGAACGCCGGCAAAGAAATGAGGTGACGTTCATCTGGTGGGATAAGAAATTCAAAGTGGAACTCTGGGGGGAAATCCAAAAATGACACATATGATGCAGTCTTTCAATAGTCCCGCTGACTCCTCCCACCAGTTACAGCATAGAGAAGCACAGCGTCCCGGTGATGATGTCACCGGGTCTAAAATAAAAGTATAAGATATAAATGGGAGGTTTAAAAAATGTTATTAACATGTTGATGGGGGGAGGGAGGGGGGGG